AAATCCCCAAGAACCATCAGAAATAAGTCTCAGAGGCCAAAGTGAGATTTGATGCACACTGCAAAAATATGCAGTCTGTCAGAGCATGCTGCTCTCTCCATATAACTTCCACCATTTGTGGGACAATTATAGGGAAAACAATACTGTGATCTGTAAAGCAGCTCCTGGAGTGGTTTTATTCACTAACTCAATGCTATGCATAATCATTGCCAGCAACATCTCCAGAGGTGTGTGCATAATAGAGAGACATCAAGTCAATGAGTCAAAACATCAGAAAATAAAATTCAGATGAACCTCACATTCAGAAATTATATCATCTGTCATTTAACACTGTCTGAAGACCTCCTTATTGAAATAATACATCTAAACCCAAAGCTATCCCAGGCAGTAATGCCATACTCTGCTGCTGTGTTTAGGAAATACCAGGAGCTGGGGTTTTCTGCACCTTGAGCTGGCTGCCAGAGGGGAGCTAGGGTTATAAAACCTGTGGGGATCTTCAAGCTGAAGCATCCAAATGACTCATAGAGGGGAAACAGAGGGCACTGGGAGGGTCTGTTCCTCTCCTGTACCTGTCAAAACCTGCTAAAGTGAGGAGTGGCATCACCCATTTCCTTTGCTGTGCAGATGTGTACAATGATTTTCCTTTCAACAGCCAAATTTCTGGAAGAGAGTTTGTATCCGAATGCAAACTTAATTAGCCCTCTCTGACATTACACCTCACTGGATTAGATCTTTCATGCCTCCCATTCCAAAACACCCGTCGAGATAAGAAGTTACCCTTTTTGAAAATGCAGCCTTGGAAGACCTTTAACTCCCCTAACTAAATTCTGATCGTGCTGTTTTCCCAAAGCACCATGTACAGCATTGTCTCTGCACTGCAGCTTGAAAGGAACAATTCCCTGTGGATGCAGGCGCCCGCAGCCAGGAATATCTGCTCTGGGATGCTTTGGCAGGGGTAGCACAGCATGGGCCATGAGGCAAGGGTACATGCATGTATGCATAAAATGTGCATGGCTGTGGATGAGCTGCACACAGGCTGGGGCAGGCAGGAAGCACCACTGCTGGATAATGAGCCCGAGCTGCTCCAGGGAGTGAGAATGAGCAATGAGCATCTCTGCTGGAAGCAAAATCAGGAACTTGGGTGAGCTTTGCTACTTAGACAACAAATCACTGGGTGTGCTGGAGGGTTCATTTTTCATTGGGAAACACCAGTGAAACGAGTACTTTGCTGCTTATCTCTTTATTGCTTATCAGTGCTTCTTTGCCCTTCATTTCTTGGAAAAGACATGGTGCTTAAATGGGTTGAAGGGTGGACGCTGTGAAAGAACTAAGCCACCTCTTTAATCCCAGAGGCTTCATCAAGGGTTCATTTTGCTCTCCGGGAAAATCTCTGCCTTCCCAGACCACTCTCCTCCCTCTCTCCACCATCCATCTAGGTTGCTTTGTCTGTATCTGAAGTCATGCTTGCCATCCTTTGAAGAGGTAGTCTCCTCTAAAAAATCAATAGTTAACATTGTCTTTAAATAGTCTGACATTTACCTTTACTGCAGTTTTCATTTCTTTCTGGGATTGCTCAGACATTTGTATTACCCGTGTACATTCCTTATTTCTCTGCCTGTAGCCACGGACCAGGAGCTTTGTAGGGATGGCAATCCTGGTGGGGTAACTCCCCGCCACAAATAAGGAGACTTTTGCAAGATAATTGAGAGGACTGGAGCTTGCTAATAGAAGCCTCTTTAATTTATGGAAGGCATCAACTGAGAATAATTACAAGCAAAAGGGTATCGTAAATCCCTGAAGAAAATACATGCTGAATGCAGTTTTCCCAACAAGCAAATTTGAATGCTAGCCCAAAGGTCAAAATAAAAGACTGTGAGCTTTAACCTCCTGAGCCATCCACCTTTCCTTTGGCTCTTGTCAGGAACTTGTCTGGGGGTTCAAGTAGAAATCTGCCTGTTCAGAGCAGGGCCATTTGCAATCTGGGAAAGTTAAGCAAATTAGCAGAATTATTAGGTAAGAGGCAATTCTCCACAGCCTGCAAAGCAACTGCTTGTTAAATTAGCTCACACGGGAGAATTGCACTGATGGAATGATGGTTGCAGTGTTTGCAGAGGGAAGACTGTGCAGGCATTTCCTTTGAAATAGCGCTGCTGTACTCCAGCTAAAGAATAAAAAAGGAGAGTTTGTGCACATTCCCTTGGCAGGCTCTCTGCACAAATATACTGTGGAAGATGCCTTTGTCTTTTAAACACGTTTCTTCTACCCAGTTCCTTCTGCAACAATAATAATAAAACTAATAAAGAAGAAAAACCCAACCCCCTCAAACTATCTACTTCTAAAAATAGGGAGGGTTGCAGGAGAACTGGTGCCATCATACCCCTGGAAGCAGGCGGCTCATTGCTCCCAGTCCCCTCTGGGACTTACAAGGACACCTGGGGTTTTGCAGCCTTGCTGTCCTGGGAAGACTGTGGGAATGTGGCTTTCAGCAGCAGAAACAGAGTTCCACAAGAAGTCAAGGAGAGGGTGGCTCACCTATGGTTTCTGATCTGTCAGTCTCATTTTTATATACTCTTTGGTTATTGATTTGGTATTTTTATACCTTATATAGTGCACTTAGTACAGGAAAAAATGGATTCACCAAGTAAATGTGCTTTATTAGCAGGTCTCTTATGGAAAATTATGTCAGTTTTCCATTTAAAAGATGCATCAGATTAATTCACTCATGAATCAATCTGTCTATGTTGAAAATCTACTCACACCCCACATTAAATTGTCCAGTGTGACTCTGCAGGCTGGAGACCACAATGGAAGTTTTTAAATGATGAAAAGGTATTATTGTGAAGTTTTTTAGCACTTCCAAGACAGCAGGGAATGAAATGCTCATCCCCAAAATGAAGTGAGGATGTTACACCAGGCTTAGCTCCAGCTTCCCTAGCAGATGAATCTGTATCAGTTAAAGTCATTTGGTGGTTTTTTTTCTTCTTTTCTTTCTTTCTTTTCCTGCTTCTTTCTGTGACCGATGGATGTCCCAGCTCAAAGGGCTGTCCCAGGTTTTGTCCTTCACAGGCTTTTTTTGGCTCACAGGGCCATGATCCTCACCGTGGAAAGATGGATTACACCTGTACTTTCCAGGTGATCCACAAAAGGGGGATAGAAATTAATTCCTTTCCCTGTGCTGAGCAGAAGCTGCAGCATCATTCATTATTTGTTCATAAGTGAGTGCTGCACGGGGCCACCTCTTTCTCCTGCCAGGATATCAGCTCATGGCTGGACACTGGAATATTTGGGAAACAGTTTCAAACCTCTCCCTCTCTCATTCTTTCCTCACTCCTGTCCCTCTATGCAGGAGAAAGTAGAAATCATGTCAGGCATTGCATAAAATAATTTATAGGATGGGAGGGCAGAAAGAGCTGGAGGCGGATTTTATCAGAGATGCTGAGAGATGAAGTAACGATCCCACATGGAATTGGAAAAGAAACCCTTGGTGTTGAGTTTCTTCAAGAGAAAGGCTGCCCATGCTCTGCCCCATCACTCAGTTACTCAGCTCCTTGTAGCCCCCCTGTAGCAGATGCTGCTTCTCCTCAGCCCCAGCTCTGTGGTGCAATCCCACCTTTCAGCCCCGGGGCTACATGTAGCATCTCAGTGTTTATTTTTGGTGTAGTAGAATAAAAGACAAGTGCTTAGAGCCAGCTCAGATCCCTGGGTGCACATCAGTATCACACGCATAAAGTAAGAGCAGTTGAACGTTGAAATAAGGAGTCTCTCTTGGAATCATTCAGGTTGGAAAAGACCCCTAAGATCATCAAGTCCAACCATTAAATCCATATCAAATCCAGTCAGGCCAATCACACAATATAATTGACATGGAGCATCGGCAAGCTGTTTTCTGTTGTCCCTCTGCTTGCTGAATACCCCAAAATGAGGGATTTCATTCCTTCTGAGGGAAAGGAGGACGTATCCACACCCCAGGCTGGGTGCTACTACAGCTCAGCAGTGCTGCAGGAGCTGAGGTAATGCATGAGGCCGCCGGGCTGCTGTCTGGCCACGTCAGACACAAAGGGAAGGACGTCTGCTCCAACCTCAGCCAAAAAAGGACACATGGACATGGTTCATCTCCTGGCTGCAAACAGCTCGGGCTGTGCAGGCGGCCGCCGTCGTGCAGCTCAGAGGGAAGGACGGTGAAGGAGCAGCCCACGTGTAGGAGCTGAGGGATCCTTCCTTCCTCTCGCTTGGGTGTGCAGGAGATCCCATCATCCAGCCCTTTGTTCCTTTGGAAAACATGTGCAGCACATCCCGCTGTTTGTGTTTAATCCAAACTAATGTCCTACGGCTATGATACGCGTGATTATGGCAGTCATTTTTAATTAGGGGTTGTGTCAATGTATTGACATTTTTATCGCTTTTGGGGGAGGTAGAGGATATTTTCCTGCAGGTGAACTCCTGTCTTCATGGTTCTCTATCCCTCCAGCTGCACTGCTTGCTTATTAAAAAATGCAATGTTATTAAGCCCATTCTCTGTGCAAGTTAATTAAGCAACTTACACAACACCAAATCCAAGGAATGCAGAATTCAAATTCCCTCCATCCTATGGCAAGATTTATAATCTTATCCTGAGTGCAACATTTATCATTAACAAAAGCCCTGGCAGGATCCTGGAAACAGAGTGATGAAGAGAATGCATTCAGTGTCTTGCTGGGAAGTGGAGTTAGACAGGAATGGCTCAAGCCACTCATTGCCTGCAGTGATGAACACCCTGCAGAAGATATTGTTCACACAGAAAGAAAAGGGAAGGCAGATCATTACATTTATTGGTCATTGCTTTTCAAGAGTCAATAAAGACCTACTGGAAAAGACATGGTTAGTAGCAGGAATATATCTTTTTTGTCTATCTCAAAAATACCTTCGGCTCAATGGCTTTATATAACACCAATGGAAGATCTGACTTCTGCCTGATATGTCAGGATGAATCTTCCTCCTGGGTGATGGTCCTGGTGTAGATAGTGCTCACATTGTACAGTTTTTAATGTCTTTAACCATCTTTAGCTTTGTATCCTGATTGCCCCTTCAGGCTATATGTCAATGCCATCTGGGAGGAAGAGACTTCTGCTCACTCGCTGCTGTAACGAAGATCTCTTGACTAAAACTGTGCTTCCATCACTTAACAAACTGTCAGCACAGAACAATTATCTGCCTGTTGGCTTGCTCGTCCTTTCTTTTCTCCCCTCTCAGAAAAAAAATTTTAAAAAATAACAGAAAAACAGGTGAAGGAAAAGGATTGCCAGAAAAAAAACTCCATGGGCAGAATCCAGCTGATCTGATCACACCACCTGAGACACTTGGAAGATCAAAGGCAGAAGTGGGTCCCTTCTTTGCCACCTCCTCTTCCTATGCTTGACTGGTGAATGCTGTCAGGTCTTTGGGACAGAGAACGTGCCTGTTTTTGTCTGTCTTAAGTCCTGTACAAATATGGATATTAAAGTATTAGTGTATTTAGGCTGATGTGTTCAGCAGCTCTAGATTATGAATTGCTCCTCAAAATAACGTTTGCATTCGCCGACAAAGGTCTTTATTACAGAAGAGGGTCAAGCAAAAAGGATTATTCTTGCTAATTATTCACTGTTATTTAATATTTGCACAAAAGGTTTGCAGGACTGAGTCCTCAGGATTGCCTTGTTTGAGAAGCTAATAGGGTTTCCAGGAAACCAGCAGTGTCTGGTGAGCCATCAGAGCAGCCTCTTATAGTGGATATGGGAAACAATTAGATTTGATGTAGTTAAGGATGGTTGGCTAAAGGTTTCTAATGACTTAGCCAGGACCTGATCCTGGGATTTTCAAAGTCAGTGGTAAGACTTCCACTCAGAGCTGTGCTTTATGGGAAATCGACTGAAGCAGATCCAATTTTCAGACCATGGATGGGTTCAGGAGCTGGGCAGCTCCTGGCTGCAAAGGGCAGACATCACTGAGCTCCAAACCCTGCTGTTGCCTCAGGAAGGATTTGGGAGTGAGCAGGGCTGAAACACAAATTGGTGGGAAGGATTTTTGGCCTATGCCTTACGTTTGTTCCTACACATTATCAGTCCCTAGAGAGCTCCCCTGAAGTCTACCTGCTGCCTTCTTCTTGGGCCTCATATTTCCTTGACTAGACCATAATGGCTGTATTGTTATAGAAATTCCATGCTAAGTGAACTGAATTTCTTGTTCCATAAAGACATAATTAGGCAATAAAAACACAGCCAGAAATCTTCATGCATGGGTGCCTGAAGGTGGGATCCACATTTAGGCATTTAAATGCATGGCCCAACTTTTGGGATCCCTGTGTATTCATACCTTTTCATGCTTCCAGAGAGCTGGAAGCTTCCCTGCTATTCAAGGTGGCTTTGGGGGTACCAAACTTCTTTAAGGAAAAAAAATCATTTACCTTCCCTGGTTTTATTCAAGTTGCAATGCCTCCAGCTTCCCCATTTGACATTTTTTAGTAACTTAATTATCATTACCAAGGAAGAATGTTAATCATGGTGTTGTTTAAATTGGATGCAGCTCTGGGGAACAAGAGAAAATAACCCAGATTGTGGGAGCAGGCGGGAGGAGCATGGTATTTTGGAAACCCAGGCCACAACCTGCTGGAAGCATCTGTTTCTACTCAACCTTTTCCTCTAGAGTCCCAACATCATTCACAGCCCAGACTGCCAGCAATTAGGGACTTGCGCTGAGGATTTCCCTTCCCCTGTGCTTTCATCCCAAGGATGTTCAGGAATCTCAGGACTGGCAGTGACAGCGTTGAGGTGGTTTGCCTGGACAGTCAATTGTGCCTCAGCAGATGCCTTTGCTTGATGCTTCTGAGATGGGAATTAGGAATTGGGATTGAGCAGTGCACACAAACCAGCACGGATAATTACAAAGCAATTAATTATCCAGGACAGATAATGTGTCAAAAGGTGACTCAGAGTCACAGAGGTGGTGGACACTTGGCTGTTTTGCCAAGGGCAGAGTGTGCTCTGAGGCTTCCGACTGGAAAGCAACAAGCACCCTCACTACCCACAGCTGCAAACTTATTTTCCTCTATTTGCAGGCTAAAACATCAACAAATGCATTTTGCATTCACTGCAATCTTCTATCAGGCCATGCCAAAGCCCTTTTGGGTGCGTTGTTGGGTGCTTAGAAAGATGCTGCAGCTGTGAAGATAAATAAATTAAAAAATAGAACCTGTAATTTCTTTTACCTGTTCCTAAGAAATCAGTTGGTGGCAAGAAGGAAAATATGCCTGATCTGACTGAAGTATATGGGAAAAAAACCCACATGTAGACTTCAGTAGGATATCGACATGGATGTTTAGGCACTGTTAAAGTGCAGAAAAATGAGCCAGCAGGATCGAGTAAACACTATTTTCCTTTTAGCTGAGGAAAGGCAGTCCTGCAGTAACATTGCTCCTCATGTCTTTGCCTTTTAAATACCCAGTGACATAAATATTAGATGCATGTTAAGCCTCAGATCCATCAAACGACTCCTTATCTTGAAGCACATGAATACTCTTGGTCCTAGCAGGAACACTTAAATGGTACCTAAAGGACCACGGATGTGAAATGAAGTAAACCTAATTTCTAGCGTGTGAAAAGAGACAAATCTCTGCACACTCTCATGCCAGGGGTTAACTTGGGCCAGGTGTTGTTAAGAAGTAAAGACATGAATAATCTCCCATCAGACTTTTGCATCCAAATGGCTCATTAAAGCTGCAATATTCATAGCTCGTGAGAGTCCTATAGATTTACGATGGCTGGGAAAGGATGACGCCCAGCTTACTTTCCCACCAATCATTATTACACGGGAAAGTGAGCGATTTTCTTTAACTCCATTAGCATAACATTAGTGCTTATAAGGACCAGACTGGAGCAGAGACTTTACAAGTCTTTTAGGTCAACAAAGTCAAACAGAGGACTCTTTTTTAGGAGCACAGCTTATATCTCATTAACAAAAAACCCCATTGTTGGCTAGTGCAGACCGTGGATATTTGCAGTTTGGGCAGTGAGGAAGCAGTTGGCATTCCCAACCCCTTCCCAGCTCTGGCAGCCCTCTAACAGCTGCTTTCTCCACTAGAGGTGTTGAAGGAGCATCTCGACGCATGGTACAAAACACAAGGAGGGAACTTCAGATTAAAACCTTTATTCTTCCCTGCAGCAGATGAAACACTGAGGCACGGGGCTCCTGGGTGGGCACGAGCAAACACATATGAAAATGCACGGCATTTGCAGTGGGAACACACTGGGTTACAGCTGAGATCAATGGAGGAGGGTGATAGGGATTATCAATCTTGAGTGGTCTCCCTTAGGCAGAATTGACTGGCAACCACATAATGACTCAGGCTCAGCCCACCAGTTTAGAGCCTGAGTGATAGATCTGTAGATGCCAATCATCATCATTTCCTTATCAGCAGTGTTCAAGTGGCCATTTGTCTTCTACCCGAACCGCCCTGGTCGGGTTCAAGTGTTTCATCCTCCAAGGTGCGTCTGAGAGATCAATGCACAGCTACAGCTGGTTGAAGGGGACCAAATCCATTGAACAGTTGATTTGGTTCCATTTTACCAGCTTTAGCAAAGCATTTGGCCTCATGGGCTGTGGCAGCAGAGAAGAGAATTCCTCGGGGTCTTTTCTTTCCCAGCTGCCGGGACCTCTTCTGAACTTGCTGCCTGATGCTGCACTGGTTCAAATGGCTTCACTTTCAGGCAGTCAGGATTTATTTAAGCTTCTTAGAGGCTACAGCTGAAGAGTGGGTCTGAATTAAAGAGGCAGGTTGAACAGCAGTGGAATAGTCTGCAGCAGTAACCATCAGCCTGAAGCGTTTTTAAACTTGATATTTGGCTCTGTCGGTTTTGAGAGCCACGTTGCTATTACAGTGTGACATAAGGAAATGTTAAGCTACTGTTTTAATCCAGATGCTTTAATTATCACCTCCTGCCTCCTTTCCTTTCAGTGTTATATGGTGTGCTGTCCTCCTCCATGCCCTGTTTTGGTGTCTGAAGTGACACCTAACACGCAGCAGCACAGATGTCGTCTGCTACAACCAGCCCAGCCCACAGCCAAGGAACTCAGGCTGCAGAACTCTTCTCCCCTCAGGGCTCTCCTTGAAAAATGGGAGGGAAAAGGCTGGAACACCTGAAATCTTTTTTTAGAGATTAGCAAACTTTGCTTCCCTACTGTGAAGCCTCCTGTGTTTTCTCATCTGGCATTAAAATCAGCATTTTCAGGAGGTTTAAGGCCTGCTCAAGCAATGGTTGTTATTTGTCATAACCAGAAACCAACAGCAAAGTGGTGGAAAGGAAACAAAAGGGAGGAATGAAAGAAAAAAGAAAAAGAAAAAAAGCTTTTCTTTCTTGCAATCTCATAATCTGGCAATTTGTCCCCCAATGGGGAAAGCAAGCCCCTGCTCCACCACTGCTGTCCAAGTCACTCCTGTGATGGTTCACATCTCAGCACTGGGGTGTTGATTTCTCCTGGAGAGCCCTGCAGCACGAACACCCCACTGCTAAAAATAACCCAGTAAATCAAATTTAAAAATCACAGCAGCTCCGATCATTTCTGCAGTGGGAGCCAATAAAGTGAGGCCTTTCCTTCTTAACCCGGAGCCATGCGCAGATATTGCACATTGCCATGTGCATAACCTATTTAAAGAATTTATATGCGTCATAAGGCAAAGGTGACTTTTCCCCCTTCTCCCTCGCAGCCCACCATGCTGCAAGATGATACCAGGGAAAAGCACCTGTGCTTGGAACCTCTGCACGCAGAAATATTGCAAATGGGCCAGCATTTCTTCTCCTGAAGAATTACAGGCTTCGCATTGTCACGGTAAGCACTGCAGATCACTTAACTGCCCAAACCCGTTACTCTAAGCTGCCTATAAATAAATGGAGAGAGAGATGGAGAAAGGGGGAGAGAATAGCCTTTTAAAAAGAGCTCTACAATTAATTTAATCAAGTTATCTGTAGGTACCTTTTCAAGAGACAATCAAGCCAAGGAACTAAATGGAAACTTAGGCAGTGAAGACCTGGAAGTATTAAATTCATCCTTTGCTAACTTACAGGAGGCAAAGGAAAGTAATTATTTGCTGGTGATTGGGTACAGGTGGAGGTGCCATTAGTGACTGAGGCTGCACAGAGCGAAGTCCTGATGGGCACATGGATTTTGGGATAGAGTGCATCAAACTGCCTGAGCATCACACCTCAAACACAGTCTGCTCCCCAGGTATGTGGGCACTGTCCCAGCCCTGTTGATCTGGGGTCAGTCCTCTGAAAGCAGCACTGTGGGAGAGAGATGTGGGGTTACACTGAGCATCTTCTGCTGGGGACCAGAGTTGTCCCCACTCCCCCTTGCTTTGCTTTGGGGAGTGCCTTGGGGCATATTTGAAATCAATGTGAGTCAGCGTGGTTGTTCTATAACATTTTGTTTAAATTCTCTGCAATGAGTT